TGTAAAGTGAAAATGACATGGAGTGTTGCACACCAAAACGTACGGACTTTAACACTACATCTATAGACGTCGAGATATTATTACTGCTGAATATTAAATGAAGGTACAGTTGATCGTAGAGTGTTTCCACATACGTGAGTAGGTATGACGTCAGAGGGAGTTACAGTAAATGAGAACTGTGCCGTAGAGGTGTTTCTAGGATTTCTAAACTAACTATTACAGCTGTTTATAAGGTATTAAATAGAAAGTCATGACAGAGATAAGGAGGAGAAAAGGCTTAAGGAAGTAGGCAGGGAATACAGAATGTCGAAATCATCTTCTTCACGCGATGTCAAACCAAGCAGAGGAGAAGGGCGGTCCCACTATCTGCACAGCGGGAGAGGACAAGAAAAGTATAAAGGAGATCGAAAAGTACAGCCCGGCCTCTTTTCCTACGCTGCAGCCATCCCCAGGGACATCTCCGGATTTGTCTCTTCATTTACCTATGCTTGTTCTTTAACCACGTTACTTAATTAAAGTACCCATTTGAACCTTTTCAGAGACTCCATTAGTCTCATTATTTTAAGTTTCTTTCCTGGGAGCGAGAAGATCACGATTTATCAACAGTAGGAGCCACATTTGAAGTAGTAGTTTCTGTGTTTATTACGGTACATGTTTTTGAGTCACTATAGGTGGTGGGCGTGTCAAAGGATTTGTGTGGTGACGTTTGCGGTTATATCCGGTTGCTTTTACCTGCACACTTGGTGATAGATGGAGTGGGAGTGAGCTGGAGAAGGACAATTTTTGTTGACCGCACGCACACACGCACGCATGCACGCATAAAAGAATATACATATGGATCTGGACTATTGAACTTTTGCTTTGAAAATAAAAGGTCAAACGCATACTGTTGGAAAGACTGAGTTTTTGCGCGTCCACAATGTTTTTCTCTTGTTTAGTCCCTCGCGGCACTTTGTTTGAAAGATTACTGCCGCAATATGCTGTATGAGAAACCAATGTGAGTTTGGAAAAATGCACAGTATAAATCTATTTTAGTATACTCAACAATGGAATTATGATCAGTGGAAATGGCCATGACACCTCTCCTTTAAGATAAATCAATTGTAAGATGCAGAGAGATGCATGCTTTAGGTTTTAATTTCTATTTCAATCTTTATTTCGAACAGATTAAAAAACAACAAATAAAAAATAACAAATATGAAAAAACAGAATACCGTATTGTTAAAATACAGTATTTATCCACATTCACGATAATATTTATATATTCAACAAAAAAAATCTTCATATTAATAATAATAATAATTAAAAATAATAATAATAAAAAAATAAAAATAAATCATATGTGTCCGAAAGGGAGTAGGAGGAAGCAAATGCTTATTAATTCCCACCCCTTACTTGATCAATGATTGTCCTTTAAGTCATTGTGCAAGTTATTCCTACTTACATTTCCATTTATACATACATATACAATAATTTCTCATCTTCAATCAACTCTCTTCATTCTCATAATTTTCCAAAAAAGTGTTTCTGTACATCCTTTTAAACTGAATTATGCTTGTGCTTTGTTTTAACTCCTGCTCCAAACCATTCCATAAAATCACCCCACAGATTGTTATACTCATACTTCTCAGAGTTGTTCTGACCTTGAGTTGTTTAAAATGTAGATTTCCTCTCAAATGATACCCACCCTCTCGGTCTATGAACAATGTTTTTAATTTCCTAGGAAGTAGATTATGTCTTGCTCTGTACATGATTTGTGCCGTTTTAAATTTAACCAGATCAGTGAACTTCAATATGTGTGACTTCAAAAATAATACATTAGTGTGTTCAAGATATCCAACATTATTGATAACTCTTATAGCCCTTTTTTGTAATGTGCATAACGGCTGTAGGTTGGTTTTGTACGTGTTTCCCCAAATCTCCACACAGTAAATCAGATATGGCAAGGTTATGGAGGCACTTAACAGAGCTCAGGCATTATGCAGTCTTATGGCCTGTGGGATGAAACTGTCCTGATGCTGCGTCACCGCCTGCCAGACGGCTGCAGATAGAACAGTTTGTGGCTGGGATGATGGGGGTCTCAGTTTTAGTAATACTTTTAATGCCAATGCCAGATACAATGAGGCAGGCGCGCCGGATTCATTTTAGAAGTGGGGGGGCCAAAAAAGTGCGTGTGTATGGCCCAATCCCAAACCACGCCCTACACCCTACCCCTACACGCTCCCCCTCCGTGACGGAGTGAACTCCGTGGAGTGACATATGAGGCTCCCTCCTGTCAGATGGAGGGAGTAGATACAGCGGCAAGCTTTGGGACAAACTCCCCTCTCTCCGGCAGAAACAGGAAATGCCGTAACTGTATCAACGGTATCAAATCAGCATCTCTTTGACAAAAAATGTAAATTAATAACTAAAATAAAACTCCAAACATCTCTAATTGTGTTACTTTTTTGTAAAGCTCTTTTAGTTTTAAACCTGATGTTTATAAGTTTCTTAGTTTTTGCAACAGTCTGTAAATATACACAACTTTATAATAAAATGCACACATTTACCTTTTTCTAGACTAAACACATGGTAGACCCTAAGTTAAAAACATATGAGGTTATCATGAGGTTGTTAACATTGCAGTTTATCAGTGGATGTTTGCTGGAAGCACAATAACTGCATGTTTTGCATTGCTTTTAAATTTCAGTTAATATAGTGGTGAGAGACTCCCGATACATTAGATTTATAAGTTCATTAATTGTCTCATGATGCATATTTCCCGGTGAGCATGAAGCTCTTCAGAGTGGGGTTTTTCTCAGCTACGAGTTCTTTTGGAAATTGCGCAGTTGCTCCATCATTCCATCTCTTCTTTTTTCCTGCTCAATACGCTGTTGTTTGACAAGCTGTATGTTGACTGGTGTTTGACTGAAGAAAGCGCACTTTTTTTTAATACACTCTCTGTGGAAATGAGACTTTTCGTGGCTGTCCAGGAGGCTTGGGCACTTTTTCCAGTTATTAACTCCGATATTAACAAAGCTATCATTTCCACATTTTGAGAAAGTTACAAGCCGTTTGACAGCAGCAAATCTGCATATTTCACAGAAGGCCCGTTTAGTGGTTTTGCAAAGAATTAACCACTCTCTGTTTTTGTACCATTCTGCGTTGAAGTACCTTTCTCTTTGCCCAAATAATCTAGCGGTCAGTTAGCTGCAGCTTTACCCGTCTCAATGTCCCGACAACAAACCTCCATGCAGTCGGAACCAGCCTGTTTCGGTTCAACGACGGCGGTGGCGGCGGTTTTGACAGTCTCTGCGGCCGCAGAGCTGCTGCTTTTGGGTTTATCTGGCTTCGCTGGTTCTATGATTGATGAAGGTCCAGGCTCCGGTGACGTGGATGTCAGGGATGTGACCTTCCAGTTGTTAATTTAAGTTTAGATTGACTGTATAGTTTTCTTCTGCGCTGGTTCTTCTGACGTGTTTGCAAGTGTATATATTTTTTCTATCTAGGTTAACGGCTGACACACACAGAACAACGTGACAAATAAAGTAAACAACGTAACGAATAAACAAATCTAAGCTTTTTTATTGGTTGTAATTTACAACATTTGAATGGTGTGACAATGTCCTATTTGATTGGGTTAAAATGTACATAGTCTTCCTGTTATGTCTGCCTGCTTTATTTTACCTAATGCAAAGTGACCTGCTCCATCGAAATCAGTCGCATTGACCCGAAGACACATTTTGAGTTGTATACACTGTTGGAAAGAGGAGATTCATAGCTTTCTAATGATATCAGGATTGTTGTTGTAGGCTACTTCAAATATTAAGCAAAATATGTCACATTATATAATGACTGTTACAGAGTCATCATTTTGAGAAAAAGGCCTTTAAAGTTTCCTCTTCTCTGGATCGATCTGATTGATTATTAGCGGAGCAAATGATCAAAATAGTACGAAGGGAAGATAGGGGAAGCCCGCGAGTGTGTGTGTGTATATACGTGTGTGTTTGTGTATTTTTGCGTTTGTGTGTATTGTGTTTGTTTCCCGGGGAAAACACTCACGAGAAACACCGGCTGCTGTTATGCCTGCAGTGACGTAAAGTTACTCCGTTGCTTGTAATTATGCCGTTACAAGCTTCAAAGTTGTATTTATCATCTGAATTTGCCAAAACAAGTTTAATATTCTGAAAGCCAAGACTTTGTTTATTTGAAATCAGATAAAAACAAACTGTAACGGACCCTGCCGTGTTATCTATGATTACTATACGCCTTACATTCATAATTTCAGCAGAGGGAGGGGAAGCGGCACTGTGGAACAGCAGAGTGGCGAGTGAGAGCTTTACAAGCTTAAAAAATGCCTGTAGCTAATGAGATTGAATATAACAATCAAACATAACAAAATATACACAGCTATATCAGATCGCGTTTTAGATGCGACTTTAGAGTAGAGGGGAATTATTGAAACGGGATTTGTACAGTGTTCCACGGCATCCGCCGCTGCGAAAATGTGGGGCAGGGCTGAAAAGTGGGGGGGCCAATGGCCCCCTGGTACCCCCGCTTCCGGCACCCTTGCAATAAGGTAAGAGATCTCCTCTGTCTGCTATGTTTGCAACAGGTGACTGAAAGGCAGAGTGGGCAGGTTATCACTAGGAGTCCATTATATTCTGCATAAGACAGCTTCTCTATTTTTGGTGTAATAGTGTAACAAATACTTTCTAAATGTAGATTAATCAAACTGATCAATTTAAGTCCTATTGTTATGATTCCATTTTTAATATCAGCTGTGTATCTGAGGACTATGTGCCTTTCAGTCAACCTGTTTATTATGCACATTTTTCGATTTGAGTGTGGAAACATTTGCAAAATCTTAAAATATCGCATTAAAAAATGTTACAGCCCATGAATCATAAACATATTACTGCTTGCTATCTAGTTGAGGATTTCTGGTGATAAGGCCACGCAACAAATACAAACTATAGTGAATCATTTTTAATGCGTGTCAAAATTGCACCAGTCTCAAGTGGAATAAACATAAAATGAGGATCGTATTTTATTTACTGCTGATGCTAGGAGTGGGACGTAAGTACATGTAAAATGTCCTATTGATTTTCAGATGTGTGTGTCCATGTTTTTACAATAATTGAGAGAGCTCATTTTTTCTCTGTCTTAATGTAAAATGTATTTTCAGGATGCACAAAAAAACCAAACTTTGAGACAAAGACTGTTGGTGTTGGAGTTTCTGTGGAGCTGACATGTCCCCGCAAGTCTTCGGGAAGCTTGTTTTGGATCAGGATTGATTCTGGAGACTTTCCTGAAGTCTTAAGAAAGACATTTAGCCTTAAGAGTAATGATCGCATCACAGCTACAGAAGAGCGTGAACTATTTGTTCTACATATTAAAGAAGCAAAGCTAAGTGATGCTGCGGTCTACTACTGTATTCAAATAAGCCAACAGAACATCAGATTCCTGACACAAACTGACCTAAGAGTTAAAGGTAAATACACGTCTTATTTCATTACAGCCAGTTAGTTAGTAACGCATTACAATTCCTGTTTCATGTACTTGAGTTTCTTTTTCCATATAAACAACAAGAATGTAAAAATGGTTTATTGTCAGTATCATTTTTACTCTTAAGTAGATTTGCAAAGAAATGTATGCACTTCTATTCTGCAACATTGGTACACACTTTTTGAACTACTATTACTTATTTAACTATAATTAATCTTTATGTTAACTCGAGCTCAAATTGACGACACTGATTGAATGACAGCAAGACATAAGAGAGCCAGTGAAACAATAAATTGCAACTAAGGAAGTATCTTTAATGAGATACTTGTAATCTCACTCAAGGAACTTTTATTTGAGACAGTATAATTATGAAGTAATAATACATATACTTGAATGCCAATTTATTTACCTAATACTGATTGCAGCTTTGTTTTAAAAATGATCGTATTTCTATCTAAATGAAATTTTCCCAGAACCTGAAATCACTGCAGTTTCTCCAACTGATCCAGTCCGTCCTGGAGACTCTGTGACTCTGCAGTGTTCAATTCTCTCCGACTTCGAGAACAAAACACGACCAGAGGAACAACATCTGTGCTGTTTCAAGGCTTTTAATCAAAGTTTTAATAATACTCGAGGAAACGGTGTTGAAGTACATGAAAAGGAACCAGGTGGACCCTCAAAAAAGAAATGTGTCTACAGCTTCTACAAGACATGTGACTGCGATGTGGCCACATGTGAGGACATCATTTCTGGAAATGGATCAGAACTCAACACTACAGGTAACTGTATCATATTTAACTTGAATTAGTAATGTAGCATATGAGATTGATTAAGGTCAAGTAATGGTCCATAACATAATCACTTAGAAATTCCTCTTAATTTCACACATGCCAAATGTTAATGTTCATTATCTTCTTTTTTCCCCACATTGTGTCATCAGACTTCATGTTGAATCAGCAGCAGAACAATACCATCATCTCTCTGTTAGGTGCTGCTTTGGCTATATGTGTGATTGTTATCGCCTACATCATATGTCATCAAATGTATTTTATTTCATAATACAGCTTCTGTTTTTCTGCAAACAAATCCCGTACCAGCCAGCGGTGATCAGCAGAGGCAGCAGGTACGGTCAAAAAGAGAAGATGTGACTGAAAAAAGCTGCAATTTTTTTTATTTTCTACATGTAAATCATAACTTTTGCCACCTCAAAAATGTTTCCATACGTTTGTGCAGAGAGAGGAGGACTCAAGAATGTATTCTGCACCAACCTTCACCAAGAGGAAAACTGGCAGACCAGACAGGAAGAATAAAAAATCAGAAGAGGGAGAGATGATCTCCACCGATGTCATGTATTCAGTGATGGACTAACAATATACTGGACTTTCTGATTAAAGCTTACTGTTGGGGAAATATGTTCCTACTGTAGGCCGATACCTTTGACCCAGTCAGTTTGTACTGCCCTCACTGAGCACAGGCCTGCAACCTTGGGCTGCTGTGCTCTCAGTGTGTTGTCTCCCTATTCCTGCCTGTTGGCGTTGCTGCTAGAGGTGTATTAGTGCTTTGCCTGTTTTATCTTGTTATGCACAATATTGATTATTCTCTCAGAACCAGCTAAATACATGGGTCTGGGGTAGAGATCTTCAGAATTGGTTTGGCAACCGCTGTGTCACCTCATGGCGGCAGCACATGTCTTGTCAGTTCTCCGACCGTAACTCCATAATAAACCATCAGTGTTTGCCATCAAAGTTCCAGCTCACCCAGTGTCTCTCTGAGTTTCGTCTCCATTGCTTCAGAAGTTTCCATCACACTTACAATGTTGTAAATATGTTGCTTCCCTTTCAGAAATTGGAGAAATGTTATAACCTGGAAAAAAATATATATATCATTTTGAAATGATGTCCAATCTGCTTGTATAACCTTTTTTTTATTAATAAAAGTACATTGGTTACATGACGCAAATTGTTATAGCTTTAATGGAGATATTCTACACCTAAATATGTGTGTAACTGTTGGATTAGATGTTGCGCAAAGTCTGAGGCATAAATACGGTAAAGCTATTCACAAATAATTCTTAAAATACACGTCACTAATTTGACCATCAACATTAACCCATGCTGTTAGTTATGTATATATGAAACGTGTATTTCAGCCACAATTGGGGCAAGGGTCTGCCGGTCAGACCACACATTGATCCAGAGTGAAATATCTGGACAAATGTTTCCATAGGATGTATCCTAGTCAGTTTTTTTGATACCCCAATGTTTATCTAGTGCATCGGTACGTCGAAGATGTTTGTGTTGTGTGAAATCACTACACTAGGGATTGCAGTGAAATTTGGTACATAACAAATAGTGACAAAATAAATACATGGCAGGGCAGTGGCTCAGCTGCTAATATACTACACATGAACTGCAACTGACCCATTTCATGTCCGTGTTTTAGCCACCACAACTTTATAAAACATGTCTAAAAAAATGTACAGCATGAAAAATGGCGGGGGGCAACTGAAAACCTCCGTCCTTCTAGCCTCTCATCACTTTGTAAAGCCCTTTCATGTCTGGTGTGAGAACAAGCAAAGCCACATGCAACAGCTACACTGACAGACAGGCCCAACGCTGTTTTCTCAGAACACACCTGACTATTGGGTTCAAAACGATATGTAGTGAGGGGGAAGTTGCAAGAAACTGCTAATTAGTTTTCAATGTGCTCAGTAAAAGTACCAAGAGAAAGAGGCAACCATCTACTCTTATGCATCTACCAAACTACTCTGCTATAAGTGCAGCATGTATTGCGCAGTGGAGCAGATTGTTGTAAAGCTTTCAGACAGATTTTTGTTGATTATCTGGCAAACTTAAGTCCTGCACTTGACAAAAAGACGGTCATGTCATGACTTTACCCTTTACTGAAATGTTTTATTATTCCACTTTCACTTTTAAAATCAGCAGTGCATGCCGAGTTTCCTGAGGCTAAAACAGAGAGTGAGAAAGGCAGAAGTGCCCCTCTCTGTTGACACCTCAGTTTGAAGCCAAACCACAACAGTCCCTAAGTTTCCATGCATCATTTGTCTGTCAGTAGTGACTGTGAATGCATGTCAATCTGTTTCTGTCAGCTTGCCAAATGCAGGCAGTGCTGTGCACACAAAGAAAAAAAGTAGACGGTACAAAGCATATGATTTCACTTGTTAGAAGCAACATCATTGCTCTGTAAAATTAGAATACTTCAAAAAAGGCTGAGGATCCCAAGTTAAGAAGTTACGTATCTTAAAAAAGGTAGTCGCTAACAAAGCGCTAACTGAGACTCATTAAACTGCAGCATGCTGAAGTCTGCCTTTAGCAGTTAGATGAGCTTGGTGTATTTTGTTTAAAGATGTAAATAGTGGTTTTCTAGTCTTTCTAGACATGTTGACTGCTGGGCAGGAAAACCACCAAACTCTGATCAGAGGACGACCACTCTACCTCCTGAGCCACAGCCGCCTCTTTTATAGCCTAACGTTAGCGCTTAACTGCTGACAATTATATGTATACTTAAACATTTTTAAAGTTGTGATCCTTTGTGAAGATTTTCTTGCTGAACAAAATGTTTAAGTTTCATCCTTTTTTTCTGCCATAGTTCAAAATCCCATTTGATTTTGGTAGAGGCAACTATTGCTATCTTCCAGCGTACAAAGACACATATCTGAATCATTCAATTGCTGGGTAACTTTTATGTACTCACCAGTACCTTAGTGGGAGCAGTATCTCTACTTACTCCTTGACAGGTAATATAAATGTGTCATCAACAACAAATCTGCCATTTTGGAGGCTACGGGTTAGAGTGACATCCACTGGCTGTTTAATTAAAGTGACCAAAGAAACTGCTGAGTAACAACAACATTCTTCACAGTTAATAAAAACATATTTTTTAAATGTAGTAAGCCTATATGGAGGTTAATGTTACTGTATATTTTTCATTATTCAAGACACAGGTAGATTAATTATGCATGCTTAGAAAACATAAAATGTTAACATTCAGTTACCTTAACATTAGCAAAAAGCCCCTGTAATTTGTAAGGATCAATGTCTTACCTAAGTTATATTTCTATATATTGCCTAATTTGCATCTATCTAAAATGTCTCTTTACACATCCTTTATACATTTAGATTAAAAAACAGTGACAAAAGAAAAGCTACCAAAGCGAAGTAGCTAAGAGAATTCCATGTCCTATTACTGTCAGGGTTGAGTGAAGCAGGCAGAACCCAAATGCAGATTTCCAAGAATAATCCTTTAACCCAAGGTACAAAGTAGACAATAGAACACTACCCTGTGACACACAGTCAAATACAAACAAGGAACCAACAATGACAGACAGAAAAACCAGAACTAAAATACACACAAGACCAATCACACAAACAAGACACAGGTGAGGAGGGAGGAGAAAACACAGGGGCACCAGGTGAACACAATCGGGCAATCAGGCAGGAGGGAACACAGAGACAGGAAGCAACAGGCAAGACGGGGTGAACACTTTTCAAAACAAAACAGGAAACCAAAGACAGAAAAAGACAAGACAAAACACAACACAGACAGATCGTGACAATTACAAAAGTGAGATTTACAGTTTGTTGCTAAACACGCTAGCAATAATAGTAGCAAGCTATCTCTTGCTAAAACAACACTCAAGAGACACTTTGAATTACCTTATCTATTTTACTCTTTATTATTTGTACTGTTGTGTACACACATATATCCTACAATAATTATTTCGTTTTTCTTACTCTGAGAACATAATGTTCTTTTACTGGATATACGTTGACTCTGGCAGCACAATCTCACCCTGTTAACAGCTAACCTGGTTTGGAAAATGTGCTAAAATGACTTTGGTAAATTGAGAAGAATGAGATGATATGCTTCACAACCATAGACTGTATATATAAAGTTCACAACAAGTGAGACAGGAAGTGCACTTTTGAATCTTGATTCTATGAGAGCCAATCAGATGCATGGTACACTCTGACACACACAATCATGATCATGTGACTTCAACATTTGTACTCACTGAAATACCCAAAAGTTTCCTAACAAGAGACAATATCAAGATGTTGCTGTTATGGATAACACTGCTTTTTCTTCATCAAGGATGTAAGAGCAAGTATTCAGTAAAAATGTGCATGCCTACTATAGGGGTTAACTTTTGTGTTCTTGCATGATGTATGTACTGTTTCACGTGTTGTATTCTGTCATTTATTTCAGATACGCTGGTTCCAGTGACTGCAGTTCCTCTTGGTGAATCTGTGACCTTCACGTGTGCTCTTTCTAATATTGAGTATGGCAGTAAAGAGCTCTACTGGTTCAAGCAAAATGCTGGAGAGACTCTGACATTAATTGTGAAACTGCTCCAATCTACAAAACCTGAGTCTGCAACAAAGTTTAATGACTCAAGATTGGAGGTAAAATGCGATAACAATTTAAGCACCCTGACGATTCGGAGTACAAACCCAGAAGATGAAGGAATGTATCACTGCTTAATCACAGAACGTTATGGACATCCTGTATGGAGTGGGACATATTTGTTACTAAAAGGTAAATGTGATCTAGTTCATTAGAATTAGTTTTGTAAATGCTTCAGGTCGGATCCAAAGCTACACTTTGGTAATGTTTAAGTAAAGTATCATTAGCTAAAATACAATTAAGATTAAATTATTCTATTTGTTTTCAGATATTTGTATTTACTTATGATGTTGATTTATTTACCAACAGCTATGTTGTATATATTTGAGAACATTACAGTGTTAACCACTCAACACTAAAAGTGTTGCCAATTCTGCCATGCACTATATCTTTAAATATATGGTTAAAACTTGGTAATTACGTTCTATGCTCTGCTTTATCTTTATTGAAGCTCTAATCGATATTTAAATATCTAATTTCACTTTGAGGGAATCTGTACTAATAAAGCAGCTCTACATTTGCTAAATATCAGCAGATTCATGTTAATACTTTTACAAAAGTCAGATAAAATGGGATACATTTTTAAAACAGTTTTGTAT